GCCCAGTTAATAATAACATATCAACATTTATATAAAACATTAAATAAAAAATATTAATACTTTAAACCCTAAACTAACTATAATACATAATATTTTAAAAATTTAACCTAATTAAACCTTTAAATGTGATTTTTTTGGTTGTATATGAGCTAATCAAGTCGGTTTTTGAGGTGCTTGGTTTTGAAGTTGCCTGAAGAGTGTAGAGTGAAGATTCCTGAATCAATGGCTGCGATGTAATTTCATTGAAAAAGCTAGAAAATTTATCTACTGGGCTTAATACTAAACTATCGGAATATGTTGTTAAAGTGCGGTTAGAAACCGTTGTTTCTATAGAATCAGTTGGTGTTGATTCTAATTGAGTATATTCAATCTAAAATATTAAGAAAATAAGGTTTATTAACAACTTACTTACGAATAAATATTTCCTTAAACTCTTCCAACCCTCAATCTTCCAGCAACTTTTAAAACATATTTAAACTTCACCCACCATAAAAATACACAAATTTCATGGAATACATTTATTATTATTATAATATCTACTATTATATGCAGTCTTTGTAATCAGGTTGGACTAGTCTATGCAAGCAAGGCAAATCAGATAACCTCAAACGCACGTTGTGCGCCACGATAGCGAAATAGAAGTAGCGAATAAAATCGCAAAAAAGGTTCGGATGTTTTCGGTCCACTAAATTTTAATAACCTGTTACTTAAACGTATTAAACACATTATTTAAATCTATTAATCCATATTTTTATTAAACAAACATCCTAATTTTAATGATTTTATTTATAGGTTCTAGTTACTTAAATTTCAGGTATTAGGTTGAATAATAATAATTAACAACATATTCCATTTCAAATGTTCAGTTTAATAAAAATAAAAAACATGTTTTAGGAATTATGTTTTATCTAGAATAAGAAAACGTTTTATTTGGTGTTATTAAAATTGGTTTTAAATTAATTAAAATTTTGTTAGGAACTCTGTTTAATAGGACGATTTTTCTCAGTGCAAATAATAGTGTTAATTTACACTAGAAGTTTGCACTAAAAGAGTAAAAGTACCTTTCTAAAATTAGAACTTTTCCAAAGTGTTAATTTACACTGAACAAAAGTGGGATTTTAACCAGGAAGTGTAGAAGTACACGATTTTAGGAAAATTAACAATTTTTAATACAGTGTAAAATTACTTTATCCTCAGTGTTAAATAATACTTGCTTACTTGGGAAAAATTACACTATAAATTAACTCTAATTGTAGTGTTATAAAACAACACTATTTAGTGTGGACCTGTGTGAACTCTAATTAGTGTTGCTTAGAGTTGATTTTTTTACTGTGTATAAAAAAGTTATACATTTTTTACACAAACCCTCTAATTCACTGTTGATTATCAACAGTGCCAAAAAAAACATCTTTTTAGATAATATACTCTCTTAAAATGAGTTAGTCAAATATGACGAAAAAGCAGCCACTAATAATTCTTGTTAGCAGCAAGTTGTATCTCGGACATTTAGCAGTCAATTTCTATGTAAAAATATGCGCTGAATACGAATCCATTGTATCGTCAAAAGTTATAAAAGTAGAACATTTTTTGATATACACTGAAAAAAAATATTCTTGTATCAAATAAATTTATTTGATTCAAAACAATCTTTGTCTCATAATTATACAACGAAGAGAATATATTCTTTAAATAGTAAAGTATTTTTTTAATTCACGTTTATTTACTTTAAGAATCTTTTCTTAATAATGTATGAAAATGAAATTTCTTTAAATAAAACTTTAATTGTTTAAAAGCAAGAATATATAATTTTTGAAATAAGGCAGCAATATTTACTAAATTCAAGAAAATGTAATATTTTTAACCAAATAATTGGTTGTTTTAAAGCAAGAATATGTTCTTTTAAAAATAAATTAGTGGTATTCTTAAATAAAAAAGATACTTATACTATACTTATTTTCTTAAAACAAAAACATGTGATATTGAAATAAGGCAATAATTTTCTTAAATCAAGATGTTTTCTATAACCCAATATTTTTTTTAATTAATAGATAGAAGATTTAAATTTTTATTTCATTGATTAGAAATAATATTTATTTTAAAACAGTGCAAGAAGTATCGTTAAAAATAAAAGTTTAATCTTGATTTTAAGCTGCTTTTAGCAATGTTTCAAAAAATCTGTAATTTTTTATTTAAAATCAATAAAATTTTAAATAATGATAGGTACGTCTATTAACTACAAATTATTTATTATAATAATAAAAACATCTTTATATTTAGGAATATTAATGCAAAAGAAATAAAATTTAAAATAAAAATACGTCCAAACACTTAAACAAAACTTTATATTTAAATACTTACGGATTATTCAAAATTGAGCCAAACTTACTGAAGGGGCAAAGTATACGTTGTATCGTTTCTAGGTGGTGCAGTAAGCAAAAAAATTTAGTTTAGAAATTAAAAAAACAAACGTTGAACAAACACATTTATTTTGTTTTTAATACAAGACAAATCTAAAATGTATACATTATTATAAATTAACGTAGGGAACTTAATTATTATTATCGACATATTTTTCATTTTAAATAATTTGTAATATTTTAGGCATAGTAGAAAAGCAATTACCAATTTTATACATAATTTAGTGCTATTGCCAATGAACTCTAACCTATATGAATCAAAATTAATGTTATACCCCAAAGTGTGTAACAAAATTATTTCTAAAACAAATCTTTTTAAATGTCATAAAATAAATTAAGTTTATTAACTTAAAATTATAGAGCCATACAAATGTTAAACACAGATATTTTGGTTATCAATGCAATATCTATTTATTTATGAATAAAATCCTTAATGCATATTAGTAAATATATAAACAAAAAACCTACCTACCTACCCGTAAATGCTACGCTAAATTTAAAAAAGGCTGGTATATCAAAAACAACTTACTTACCTTCAATTTTTTATAATTTTCATCGATGCTGACTAAGAGAAAGAAACACTGCATGATTAGGCCAAAGATTAAATATACTCTCTATAGAGTATATTTAATCTTTGATTAAGCATAAAATTTCAGAGGAACGTGTCGGCATCTCCACTCCTACACTATTTCAAAAATATGTATTCTTGGCAAAAGAAAATACTGTTTATTAAAATGAATAAAAAATTTAAGAATATTTAATTCTTAACAGAAAAAAATAAAACAAATAAAAAAATAAAGCAGGTTGACTTGAATTAAAAAAATATTTTCAAGATGATAGGTGTTCTAAATATAAGAAATCTTTTTTTTCAGTGTAGTCAACTTTATACGAGCCCTAACCACAAAATGTTCGGACACTTCATAATTTATACAGAAATATTTTTCGTGAATACTATCTCAAAATTATTAGAAGTTATGAAAAATTCAGCTTATTTTGGCATATACCCCTCGAAGCGATTTTTATTTTTAAAAAGTTTACCTTTTATTTTTAGCTTTTAAAAAAAGGGTAACTTTTTAACTTTTTTTTGTATGAGTAAAAAAAGTTATAAATGGGCCCATTAAAAAGAACATAAAATATTATACAAACCCTGAAAATTTGGTAAAAATTGTATAAATAATAAGAAAGTTATAACGATATATATATCTGCAAAATCTCCCGTTTCCTAAGAAAATTGCAAAAACTCTTTAAAAATAGCATTTTTAAATTACTTATACTTTTTTATAACTTATTTATTTTTTACCAAATTTTCAGGGTTTGTATAATATTTTATGCTCTTTTTAATGGGCCCATTTATAACTTTCTTTACTCATACAAAAAAAAAGTTTAAAAGTTAGCCTTTTTTTAAAAGCTAAAAATAAAAGGTAAACTTTTTAAAAATAAAAATCGCTTCGAGGGGTATATGCTAAAATGAGCTGAATTTTTCATAACCTCTAATAATTTTGAGATAGTATTCACGAAAAATATTTCTGTATAAATTATAAAGTGTCCGAACATTTTGTGGTTAGGGCTCGTATATAATATGGAATTGACTATATCTCAAAAACTGCTCTACTTTCATAACTTTTGATGACATTTTTGAATTCAGCTGTCAATTTTAATACGAATTGACTAATAAATATCAGGGATACAAATTAATGTGGACTGCAGCAGCTATTGGTGGCTGCTTTTTTGCTATGACAATTAGTCATTTTTGACTAATACATTTTTTCTATTCCCACCTTTAAAACGCTCTTTATCGTACATGTTTCCATGACACTAAGTGACCTTTTAAATACACATTGACAAGTTGTGCCTTTACGGCGCTTTACTCACGGGCTGAAGTTAGCAACAGGTTCTTAGTGACGGGCTGAAGTTAGTTTTAAGTTAGTTGACAGTTGTCAAATTTCATACAATCGTTAAAATAAAGTGCCTCTTTTGTAAAATAATACTTATCTCAATACAAAAATACAAAAATATTAAATAGTTTCTCAACGCCAATATTTGAAAAGTTTATATGAAGATTGTACTGACCTTTTAATTTTGCCGGCAGTAAACTATAACTTAAATTCGGGCACGGACTCTACTGTAAAGTCCTCATAAAACTTTCACTGTGAAAAACTGTCAATTTTCAAGATACAATTCGATTTATAACCTTTATAATTGTGTTTATAAAATGTAAAAATGTGACATTTGACAGTTTCCCCTGTTGTTTCATAGATGGCGCTCTATACAAATTTTTGATTTAAATCATTTTAAGATAATAATAAGTATTTGTCGTAGAAAAAGTATAGTACTTATGCACCTCGTTTATAAACTTTTCTATACACTCATTAACTTAAGCACTCGCTCGCAAGCTCGCTCGTGCCTAAATTAAATTCGTGTATAAAATGGCGTTTATCAAACTTTCCTTTATTTTTTGACGTAGGTAAAAAAATATTTGCCTCTGGTAGAAATACCTCTATTATTTGCTGCAGATGTCCAATCAAACTTTTTTATCTTTTTTGACGTTTTCTTTGTACTTGATTTGATTAATTTTTGTTTCAGGTTGACTGTGAAACTGACCAACAGCGAGCTGAACCAGGCTTTTTCTCTAATCTCGCACTGGCTGTGCTACGCCAACAGCGCAGTTAATCCCATAATATATAACTTTATGAGCGGTAAGTCGTCCGCATGTCCCTTAATTCCTTCCCACGTATTTTCTCACCGCACAAAACGTTTTGCCATTGTAAAAAGACTTGTTAAGGACGGTGGTTTCAAAGTTTTCAAATTGAAAGCTTAGAAGACTTCGCTTTTTTTCCATATGGCTTATTTTCATTGAAGATTTATTGAATAAAATCTTTTATAGTAATGCGGATCCTTTGGTAAAATTATAAAGGTAATCATTTCGTTATAACTAAAAAAATCGCATTTTATGAGTAGGGCAATTTTCAACATTTAACAATTTTATTTTGGACATTTAAAATTTTGGTATTTTAAACCGAACCTTAGGTACCAAAAGGTCACATTTAAAAAAATACATAGTGGGTCATGTGTCATATCATTTACAATATCCAAAACGGGGATAAATTGGGGTGGTAAAAAAATAAAAAGCAAAGATTAATAAAAACACTACCAAAATAATACCTCAATGTGTATTTCTTCATAACATAAAGTTATTTCAAGGCGGCTATAAATTATACATATAGTTATAATAATAATTTTTTTAAAGAAAAATTAAATTAAATTTATTTTAATTGAACTATATATTATTAATTATCGTTATATATAATGCCTTAACTTATATGAGCTAAGAGTTTAGGGCAATAATAAGAAAGTAAAAAACTCCATGGACATACCTTTTAATTCCATGGAGTTGATGTCCATGGAGTTGATGTTTTTATAGTTAAAGTCACAAACTTTAGAAAATGGTACATAATGTATCTTTTGTTAACTGTAATTTAAGCAAAGCATATTTGGTTATTTCACCTGGAGTAAGTTTAAATTTCAATTGTATTTAAATCCCTTTGTTATTAAAGACATGCATGTCTTTATGGAGTTGATCTTTAATAAAAATACTTACCCGTTTTTTCGCAAATAATTGTTCTTTATAAATTTTTATTAAATATTACACCCCCTTTGCCTTGCTTACACAAATCAACAATAAATCACTCAAACGACGAAGTCTTCAAACATTACTAAAATACGTTTTATACAGGGGATTTATCATATATTAAAAGACTGCAAAGAACTCAGCTGTAAAATGGTGACTCATGCTTTATTCGACATTTTGGGTTAAAATATCAATAAGTTTGCTTTTGGTTGTGTTTTTTATACGTTCCAAGTTAGAGAAAATGCAATATGAAAGAATCATTTCACAATTGCATCTAGTCTAATAGTATATGGATGATTTGTTGTCCCTACGCTAGGTGGTGACAGTCCATGGAGTTGACTTTAAAGCGTTTAAGCAAATTCAAATTAATAAAATAAATAATGTTATATTTTTTTGGTTAAGTACGTTCTACTGCTAGACATAAACTGTCTATTGTAGTGTTATTTAAATGCTAACTACTTTCATTAGTATATTTTATTTAAGAGTTTCAGCATATTTGCTCCGTTCTGGAGAATCACCCTTGTAAGGTCTTTTTATGTTATTGTTATGTAACTTTTTAAGCCGGGTCTACAATTGTCGCAGATCGCAGAACAAGCCTGCGCGGAAAAAATATATTTTTAAAAACTTTTTATTATGGGTATTTTTAAGACGATAATTTGTTAAAAACATATTAAAGCAATAGATTTTGGTAAAAAAATATTTTTAGATAATTATGTTTTGATTTTATGACACCTCAAAGTAAAATGTTTTTAAAACAGTAAAATGGTTAAAAATTGCGCACTCATTTAATAAACTGTATCTTTTAACACAGTAAAAAATAAAAAAATAAATATTTCTTTGCAATAAAAAAGTATAGGTATTTGCTCTTTTTTGAACTCAATTGATGCTCTAGGACCATCTAAAACGCATTTTAAAAAAAATAAAAACAGTTATTTTTTTCGATTAAAATATAGTTATTTATACGTAATAGGTCCCATTTAACAAAGTTAAAAATATTTTTTGCATTAAAAAAGTAATTGGGTTATTTTCACAATTGACGCTCTATGAACATCTAAAAACGCATTTAAAAATTAAAAACCTGTATGTATTTTTATTGAAATATAGTTTATTATATATTGCGTATACGCAATAATCCAATATACAGTATTATAATACAGTCAAAAAGGAACAAAATTATATTTATTTTTAATAAAAAAGTATGTGAATTATTTCTGCAAAACAGTCCTTTATGATAATCTAAATACTTATTTAAAAAATAAAAAAATGTTGATTAAAATATAGTTAATTATTCCTAATAACTCCTTCTTAACACCTTAAAAAAAAAGAAAAAAAAATATTTGTTTGTAATAAAAAAGTTATTGAATTTTTTCCGCAAAACGCAGGCTTATGTTCTGTGATCTGCGACCTGCGACAATTTTAGACCACGTTATGTTAATGTTAATGCACAACTAACGTACTATGCTCGAAATGAAAAAGTCCCAGTCAGTTTAACGCTAAAGCGTATCATATGATACAAAAGTATTATGACTTTCCCATAATCATAATCAGGCAGGCTGCTTGAGGACCAATGACAAATGGTCATTGTGCGCTGTCTTAACTTCGGTTATATACCTAGCCGAGGTTAGTAACACGAGCGAGATGTAAATGATGTGTATAAGTATAAGTAAGTTTGTTACGTAACATAAATATAATACTTAGGTAACAAACTTGTCAATCGTGTTCCGTTACTTCAACGAAACTTTGTAAATTTAACAATAGAGTTTGCTAACTGCATTTACTGTAATATAATAGTATATTATGTATCAAGTTTGATAAACTCCATTTTATACACGAATTTAATTTAGGCACGAGCGAGCTTGCGAGCGAGTTCTTAAATTAATGAGTGTATAGAAAAGTTTATAAATGAGGTGCATACTATACTTTTTCTACGACAAATACTTATTATTATCTTAAAATGATTTAAATCAAAAATTTGTATAGAGCGCCATCTATGAAACAACAGGGAAAACTGTCAAATGTCACATTTTTACATTTTATAAAACCAATTATAAAGGTTATAAATCGAAATGTATATTGAAAATTGACAGTTTTTCACAGTGAAAGTAAAGGAAATGTTTTATGAGAGATTTACAGTAGAGTCCGTGCCCGAATTTAAGTTATGGTTTATTGTCGGCGAAATTAAAAGGTCAGTACAATGTTCATATAAACTTTTCAAATATTGGCGTTGAGAAACTATTTAATACTTTTGTATTTTTGTATTGAGATAATAAAATAATTTTCACATTTAGTATTATTTTACAAGAAAGGCACTTTATTTTAACGATTGTATGACATTTGACAACTGTCAACTAACTTAAAACTAACTTTAGCCCGTGACTAAAAACATGTTGCTAACTTCAGCCCGCGACTAAAGCGCCGTAAAGCCACAACTTGTCAATGTGTATTTAAAAGGTCACTTAGTGTCATGGAAACATGTACGATAAAGGGCGTTTTAAAGGTGGGAGTAGAAAAAAATATTTATGTTATATAACAACCTTGTCAATCACGTTGTATTACTGTAACCAAACTTTCTTAATGTATCAAGGCTGACTGGTTACGTAACAATTTGGTTACGTCAGTGTAATTATGTTAGGTTATATTACAATTGTTTCACAATGTTACCTTTTTGTTACATTGCTTATTTGTAATTTAGTTATATTACAATAGTATAGCAATGTTACGTTTATCTTGTTTACAATTATCGTGATTCGGGTTTTTGCTGTTTATAAAAATTAATAATCGTTTTAAACGTTGTGTTTCTTACAGAGGCACTTGTAAGCCTTAAAAGAGGCCTTAAAGTGCTGATGGAAACCATTTTACTCCTCTTTTGTAAATAATAAACCTTAAGGTTAATAATATTTTATCAGGGCTGTCATGAAACTGTCAAATGTAAATTTTAAGGTTAATTTGTGGGGTTGGTAAATTAACCTTAAAATTAAAATTTGACAGTTTAATGACAGCCCGGATAGAATAAAGCATAATTTTTATGTATTCGTTAGTACGGTAGTCCGTTCATCCGGGAGCGCTCTTATTGGTCCAATTATAATTTAAAATGTATAACATTTTATCGGTCCATCAAGTTTCAACTTGGTACTTCTGACAGAAAAAGTTAAAATAATAATTATTTTAACTCATCCGTCACTACACATCTGTTTTTACGCCTAACGTTATTTATTATTTATTTTCAAATTATTTTTTTAATAAGATTGTAAAACGGAAATATAACGTTCGTTATGTGAATAATGTTCTACTGTTATGTTTTCTTTTTAATAAAAATAACAGAAAAAAAATAATAAATTCTTAAGTGACTTAGGAAACATAACACACGAGTGGCATACAATGTTTTATTCAACAAGTGGAAGAAATCGTTTTTTATGAGATAATAATTAATAAGCTTTGTGATCAAATCAAAGCTACTTGCGTCTCAGTCAGAATGACTTGACAGTGACTTTTTTACATTTTGGTCAAACTAGGTTGTTTGTTTGGTTGCCACGGGCATGATACATTGTTAGCAAATGTTTAAATAAATTTTGACACTTGGCAGTTTTCCCTGCAGAAAAGGGAAGCTTTTTGAAGAAAATGGAGGAAACCGATAAAAATTACGTTCCTGAGGATATCCTTATAGAAGCGGAAGAAGCAGCTATGCAGATTTCGCCAGAAAAGTCCCCAGATGCTTACGACAAGGAGTTCAAAATGTTTGAGAATTCACGGAAGATAAAAGGTATCGATGAAAATGTTCTATTGGCTTATTTTTTACATTTGCAATAAAAAATAGCCCCATCGTCGCTATGGACCGACTATTTACCTTTATAAAAAAATCGACATTTCAAAATATGACAAACTAACGAGCTTTTTGAAAAGCAAATCACAATGATACAAACCAAAGAAGTCCAAGACATTAGAACGATCTAAAATAGAGAAGTTTTTGAACGAAGCTCCCGACGACGAGTACCTGTTGATGAAAGTGGCTTCGATAATGGGAATTAGCGGTGCTTGTAGATGCGATGAATTGGTCAATTTGAAAATAGAAAATATTCAAGACAAATGGAAATATTTTCACGTAGTTTTGCCAGACACTAAAACCAAGAAATTAAGAAGTTTCACCATACTTGAAGAAGGATTTCCAGTCAACCCGATCAATTTGTGTAAAAAATACATGTGTGTTTGAGACCAAAGAATACTAGTTCGTGCCGCTTTTTTGTTTTTTACAAAAATGGAAGGTGTACCAGCCAGAAGGAAGTCCTCGACGGTAGCAGAAGGATACCTAGAAGAATCGGTGCATAACAAAAGTTTTCCTTTAATTTCAATATCAATGTGAATTCTGCTTGTAATAGTAATAAATAAGGCCGTTGCTAGTCGTCCGTATAATCGGACGAATAAAATATATTAATCGTCCGATTATCGGATGAATAAAATATATTAATCGTCCGGTAATAACATAAATAAATAATAAAAAGATTATCGGACTCAAACTCAACAACACAACCCAACCGACCCCGCCCCATTGCCCCCCCCCTGCCCCATTGAACAAAAAACTCAACTAAAATGGGCAAATTTATGTTACGATAAAAATAAAACACTTTTTAACAAAGCAACAACAAATTTATGAAATAAAAAAGTTCGACAACTTCTAGTAGATTTTATGTTACGATAAAACTAAAACAAACCAACCAACCCAACCCAACCGAACACTGTTTAACAAAGAAACAACAAATTTATGAAATAAAAAAATAAAAAAAATTCGACAGCTTCTTAGTATCGAACCCGGGACCTCTCGCATGCCAAGCGAACGCCCTACCATATAAGCTTTCTAGCTTGTTGTCAAATATTAAACGGTCGGTGAACAAAAGCGGATTATAATTATGACGTAACTAACGTTATTACCGGACGATTAATATATTTTATTCATCCGATGATCGGACGATTAGACAAGTCGAATAAATAATTAGAACACTACTTTAAATATGATAATCTAAATACGCTTATAACCACAGAGAAACACACTAGAGTGTTATTTGAAAGTTTACTTGTCTAAAATGTCATAACTGTCATGTGTTGGATAAATAAATAAATAAATAAAATTTGTACAACAATGAGAAATATTTGCCATGACTACATAAACACTAAAATATAATCCGATTATGAAGCATTTTTGTAAACATTGACACTGACGTTATGGCTCTTTTTAAACATTTTCTAAATCCTTTTAAAAGTATTTTGCGATTATTTGCCACCGCTGCCAAACCAAAAAAGTCACTTTGCAAGGATGGAGGAAAACCGCCACCAGAGAAAGAACTCAAACCCAAACTCAAAACATTCCAAATCTACAGATACCTGCCGCACGAAGGCAAAACCTTCAAAAAATCCTACACGTTGGACTTGAACAAGACGGGCATCAAAGTTCTGGACGCTCTGATCAGAATCAAGCGGGAAATGGACCCGACCTTGGCGTTCAGGATGTCCTGCAGGGAGGGAATTTGCGGGTCCTGCGGCATGAACATCGACGGCAAGAATACATTGGCTTGTTTGGCTCCAATCAGCCCCAAAGGCACCACGAAAATCTACCCGTTACCCCACATGTACGTCATACGTGACTTGGTGGTGGATATGAAGCATTTCACTAAGCAGCATAGGAGAATAATGCCGTGGTTGATTAGAAAAGAGGACCCCGGCCCCGATAAGCAACTGCTGCAGAGTGTTAAGGATCGCGACAAGATAGATGGGCGCATAGAGTGCATTCTATGCGCGTGCTGCTCCACCTCTTGTCCCGAATACTGGTGGCATGGACACTCCAAGGACGAGAAAGACTTCCTCGGGCCTGCAGCCCTGTTAAACGCATATCGGTGGGTTATAGACTCGAGGGATCAGGCCCAACAGGAGCGTTTGGCCATGCTGAAGAACTATTTTAACGTGTTTCGGTGCCACACCATAAACAACTGCACCAATTGTTGCCCGAGACAGTTGAATCCCGCCCAAGCCATATCGAATTTGCGTCTCTTGCTGACCAACCTGCAAAACAAGAAGAAGCCGGATTTGCCCGGAGCGGTTTTAATAGAACCGGAAAAGGCGTGTAACGTTGAAACTGATGATGAATGCAAAACATGAAATGTTATTTATATATTTTACCAATATAATAAAAATATTATTTTTTTTTATTATTTATTCTGCTTACCCAATAACTATTCTATAAGTTCCACAAGGTTTCAAGTACATATTGGTGTAAGTAATGACACGGCCTAAAATACAATATTATTATTATTATAAGAAACCTGTGAAATTCTAAAATTGAAACCTATAGAATTTTCTTCTATAGAAGAAAATTTTTAATTTTAATTTAATTCTGAAAACAAACAGTAAAATGTCCAGTGTCCAATTACTGGTTGGTAAAAAATGTAAATTTCTGTTATTTATTGGACATTTGTCCAATATCATATTCTATTTGTATCCCGGACATTTTCCAGCCAATTCTTATATAAAATTGTCCCCTAAATCAAAAACTATAACTTTTGACGACATTTTCGGATTCAGCAAATAATATTTCATAGGAATTGACTGCTAAATGTCCTGGATACAAATTGCTGTTGACGAGAAATATTAGTGGCTGCTTTTTCGCTATGACATTTTTGACTAATTCATTTTTAGAAAGTAAGTAATATAGTGATTTCTCCGTCACAGGACATCTTGCAGAATAATAGTGATTTAAATACAGTGCATGATAGAGAACATAAAAAAATAATGGCAACAGAATTAATAGATTCGGAAAATACTTTTAACATACCACCCAAAAATATATTAGATATATGTAAATTCGGCCTAAACATTATAAATACTTCACAAACTAGATGGTATACCACACTTAATGATATTTGCAACAAACTATTATAGAAGTCAGACCAAGGAATTAGTGATTACCTTCAGAATACAGAAAAGGGATGAGGACTCCGAGAAAGAAATATATAAATTATATGATATTTACAAAAAGGAAATAAAAAAAATTACCTTAACAGCAATTTATCTTTAAAAAATATTTAACAATTTATGTTATTTGATGTAAAGTTGTTATGTTTATATAAAAATTGTATGTCCAATAACTATGGTCCATGTGTCCAATTACTATATAAAATGTCCAATTACTATACTTTTTTGCATGTTTTTATAAAACTATTATTAAAAATTCAAAAATTCTTATTTTTAAGTAAACGTTAATAAAGTTTAAACAAACAAACTATCCTCTTTATTTATAAGAAAAAATTAAAATCTTTAAAACAACGGCATATATAAATTTTAAATAAATAATATTCCTTAAGTGTCCAATAAGTTATTGGCAATAACTATGTGATTTACCCAATGTAACCTTAGTAATCAAAATAATAAAACTTAATTTATAATGCAATGTTCAAGTTTTATTTGTAATTTAGTGAATAGCAAATAAAAATAAGTAAAAGACTTAATCTTTACAAAATCGAAAAAAATGTCTGCCCACCATATCCCATTATAATTTTCCCATGTATTTTGACCCACTAAACACGAAAATCACACAATTTTTTTATGGAGGCGTTTTTGAGATGTGTATTTTCAATTGTTTTTTTTTAATATTTGGAGGTGTTTTGACGTTTTTGAGTATAGCTTGAAATCTAATTGATCGATTTGGCCAAACGAGCCCAGGTATTCTACATACTTTCGGTATCGGAAAAGATTATTTTATTTAAAGTCTTTCTTAACATTTTTAACAGGCAAAAATAAGATCTTGTTTATAGAAACTAACATTAAACTAAATATTAATCATATTTGGTTTAATGTTAGTTTTATCATTGACAATATTAGGTCAATCATCTTGTTTCAACTGTACTTGATTTTAAGCTAAGAAATCAAATCTTTAGGTTAATATTTAAAAGAAATTTAATGTATTCGTAGAATAAGCAAATTATACATAAATTAAATGATTTTTTTAAGAATAAAGGTTAAATGTAAAAAAAAAAATATTTTTTCCGTTTATTATTTAGTTGCTGCTGAGTAGCAGTAGACACATCTTAAAATGTATAATGGGTTGCATACAATACTCTTATTAAATCGGCAGTAAAGTTCTACTTTACTGCCGATTTCTTTTACTGTACTGCCGATTTCGGATACAATTTTTTTATTATTTCTACACTGTTCAAAATTTCATGACGTTAACACCAAATTAACACCAAATTTGGTCTATATCGATACAAACCAAAATGGTGTTAAATAGGGTTCGTTGGTCCGGTGTAAATTCAAATACTAAAATGGTGTAAATTCAAATACTAAAATGGTGTAAATTTAACTTTCACACAGTATTAAAATAAATTTTACCTGGTGTAAATCGAACTCCTTTTCAGTGTTAAATATTATGTGTTTGTGGCAGCGTTGCCAACCGTACCATAATTATGGAATTGTACCATAATTTCACTATCTTTTCCATAATTTTTTTAGGCGTACCATAATCAATAATTATACCATAATTTTGCAACTTTGCGTTAATCCTCATTCAACGGTAGAACGATTTTTTCAGTTAATTCTTGTGATTTTAAAAATAAATGTGTTATTTATGTGTTTTTAATTTTTTATACCATTTTTGTTTTGAACAGTTTGCTATTTTGTCTGCTCAAACTGGCTAAATATATTCTTTTTCTATGGGTAGCTTTAAATTTAATGCATTATCAAAATTTGTGTTTTCTAAAATTAATTTAATTAAAACAGATTTGCGCAATAAACTTTGCAGTGAAACTATTAATGGTTTACTGTTAAGTAGCCAATTAATGGAAAAAAATTGCGTTGGATTTGATCCACCGTCACCGATGTACAAGCTAATGACTAAAGAAATATATTCTAATAAGAAGACTGATGGTGGTGATATTCAATTCGAAGATCTAATTTAATTAAATTATAAAATTTAATTAAATCTTTTTTTTTTACTTTAAAACCAAAGTTACTGTTAGAAATAATTATTTTTAATATTTAGAAATGAAAATGTGGTGTTGTTTTTTTTTATATTTTTTTCCTCTATCCATTTAAAAAAAACTGCCTCTTATATTTTAGAAGGTGTACCATAATTTTATGAATTGTACCATAATTTTGAGGGTTGTGTACCATAATTTGTTTTCACATGGTTGGCAACACTGGTTTGTGGTCAAATTAAATCATACTACACAGAAAAAAGGAAAAAAAAGGAAACAGGAAGTTCCTTGATGCATTACTAGTATATTACCAGTGGTATTATATCAGAAAATGAAACCTTCAACTCGCTAGAGATAATGTTTTTAGTTCGTTCCACTAACTTAAAATACTTCAAGTATTGACAGCTGTTTCCACCTATTTAAGGTCTAGTATCGAACAACTTGTAGTGTCACACCAAAGCAAAGGACAACCTGAGCTTATATATTCTTCATGTAAGTCAACAGAGGCGAGATTTAAGAACATCACGTGATCCACAAAAAAATAAATACTTATGGGTCAACTAAATTAATATAGTTAAATTAACTTTTCCTTTTTTTCTGTGTAGGTGCACTTCTCAAATATTTTTAGATAAACACCGTTTTGGTGTTCATTTTCAACCATAATTCATGGTGTTATATTAACACCACTTGGTGTTGGATTTTGACACCATTTTAGGATTACTCTTTACACCACAGTGTACATAGAAATTTAGACTTTGCTGTAAAATTCCTTTTAACTAATGATCACATGTGCAGATAATAAATCATATACTTATATATATTAAAATAAAATCAGCAGTTGTTCTAAAACCCTTTCTAACATGTTGTTTTTGGTGGCAGGAAAGTTCCGCAAGGAATTTCGACGTTCGGCGTTCGACTCGTGCTGCCAACGTAGAGACCGTCGCGACGACTTTCGTTGCAGCACTTTCTGCAGCCAAAAACAACAGCTGACCGTGAACGCACACGCCGCCGGCGGCGGCGGCCACTTCGGCTTCGGCGGCGAGTCCGGAATCCACTCGAGGACGCAGTCACGCACCGACTTCGAGATCCACAGAATGAGCACGTACACCGGTGGCGGCGCGAACGTGCAAAGAAAAGTCACCAAACAGAGCCTGCTCTAAGCAGCATGCTGCAGGACGCACTTGGGTCGCATTCGCATTTCAATCGTTTCAATAACTTTTGTTTTAATATGTAGACGAGACGTGTTATAAATTTTATAAAAAATTTGTGACACACTTGGGTCACATTCGCATTTCAATCGTTTCAACAACTTTTGTTTTAATATGTAGACGAGACGTGTTATAAATTTTATAAAAAATTTGGGAAAGATAAAATTGATTTTGAGGTCCTAATAATAAAGAAATTTTTGAATATAAAATCACCCACAATCCACACAACAACCCTGATAGCAAAATTTGATTCTAAGAATCTTCTAGGAAGATATGACCCGGAATAATGGAATATTCTTAGAACCTTCCCTTATTGCTAAGAATGTTCTGAGGGACTTTTAAAACATTCAATAGATACCCTTTTAATGTTGTCATTAGATTCTTAAAAACTTCTTAAAAAGCATCCTAAGAACATTTTAAGAATACGTTTTTGGAATGTTCTTAGAAGGTTTCTTATGGAGCTTCTAGGAAGCTTTTGAGAATATTTCCAAATATGTCAGATACCCACGCTCTAATATGTTGGATTCTACATTTGTAAAATTCTTCAGGAGGCGACAAATACGCCTCACTGTCATAATATGACAGTGAAATGTATTTGTCGTCCCCTTAAAAAATTTTGCGACATATTAATATATATTTATTTAAAAATATTAAATAAACAATTTGACCTCTAGGTTGTATGACATTATTTCATAAAAAGTAAAATTGGAAAATTTTGTGGGATAAGTCAGATTAGATTGAAGTTGAAGATAGTTAGGATTATTATACATAAAAATTTTAATTCAGAAATAAAAAATCGGTATACAAATTAATAAATATTTACTTTTAACATAAAATAAAATATATAGAAACAAAATATTTCCTTATAAAATAATTCTTCATAAAAGAAAAAACCAAATATTTCTTCATAAAAAACATTTTTCATTGTATTTAAGTTGGATAGAAGGTTTTATGTAAAAGCCGGATAATTTAGATACTTAAAGTAAAAGTATTT